GAAGGACTGAAACCTGAACAAGTGTTTAATTGCGACGAAACAGGCCTGTTTTGGAAGAAAATGCCAAGCAGGACCTACATTACTCAGGAGGAAAAGGCACTCTCAGGACATAAGCCTATGAAAGACAGGCTTACTCTTTTGATGTGTGCTAATGCTAGTGGTGATTGCAAAGTGAAGCCTTTATTGGTGTATCACTCTGAAATGCCCAGTGTTCAGGAAAAACAATGTCCTCAAGGCTAATTTGTGTGTGCTGTGGAGGGCAAACAGTAAGGCATGGGTCACTAGGGACTTTTTCTATGACTGGTTACACCATGCATTTGCCCCCACTGTGAAAAACTACCTAACTGAAAAGAAATTAGACCTTAAGTGCCTCCTGGTATTAGACAATGCCCCTGGTCATCCTACAGACTTGTCAGAGCGACTTTCTGGGGACATGAGCTTCATTAAGTTTAAGTTTTTGCCTCCTAATACCACTCCTCTCCTGCAGCCCATGGACCAGCAGGTCATTTCCAACTTCAAGAAACTACAGTGGACCCCCGGTTAACGATATTTTTTCACTCCAGAAGTATGTTCAGGTGCCAGTACTGACCGAATTTGTTCCCATAAGAAATATTGTGAAGTAGATTAGTCCATTTCAGACCCCCAAACATACACGTACAAACGCACTTACATAAATACACTTACATAATTGGTCGCATTCGGAGGTAATCGTTATGCGGGGGTCCACTGTATAAATGTATCAAGAAACTATACACAAAAGCTATGTTTCAAAAGTGATTTATAGTGACCACAGAAACTCAACTGACTCTAAAAGAGTTTTGGAAGGATTACTTTAATATCCTCAATTGTATAAACCTGATAGGTACAGCTTGGGAGGGAGTGACTAAGACCTTGAACTCTGCTTGGAAAAAACTGGCCAGAATGTGTAGACAAAAGGGATTTTGAAGGATTTGAGGCTAACCCTGAGAATCCTATGCGGCATTGGGGAAGTCCTTGGGGTTGGAGGTTAGTGGGGAGGATGTATAAGAGTTGGTGGAGGAGGACAGTGAAGAACTAACCACTGATGAGCTGATAGATCATCTTGAACAGCAAGAGGGCAGACCTGAGGAAACTGCTTCGGAGGAGGGGATAGAGAAATTGAAGAAGTTGCCTACTTCAAAGATTAAAGAAATGTGTGCAATGTGGCTTAAAGTGCAAACCTTTTTTGATGACAATCACCCTAACACAGCTATTGCAAGCCGTGCTGGTGACTATTACACAAACAATGTTGTGAAACACTTTAGGGATGTCATAAAGGAACGGGAGGTACAGGCCACTATGGACAGATATGTTGTGCGACAGAAATCCAGTGACTCTGAAGCTGGTCCTAGTGGCATTAAAAGAAGAAGGGATGTAACCCCGGAAAAGGACTTGCTACCTCAAGTCCTAATAGAAGGGGATTCCCCTTCTAAACACTAACACCTCTCCCCTCCTCCCATCCCATCAATCATCACCAGACCTTCATTAAAGGTAAGTGTCAATTATTTTATTGTATTCTATTGCATTAAACTTAATATTCCATGTAGTAAAAATTTTTTTTTCATACTTTTGGGTGTCTTGCACGGATTAATTTGATTTCCATTATTTCTTATGAGGAAAATTGATTCGGTTTTCGATATTATCGATATTCGATGAGCTCTCAGGAACGGATTAATATCGAATACCGGGGGTCCACTGTAGAGGAAATCATCTCTAATATACATTATTTAGGTATGAATATTGGTCAGAGAGCCCATCGTAAGTCCGAGGTGTCGGTAAACGAGTGCGTCGCTAAGTGAGGAGAAGCTGTACTAGTTTATAAGATTGAATGCATATCCTGTCTGGACCCTAATTAAAAGGGCATTATGTCTTCAGGGTTGTTTTTGCAAAAGTGGTATAAAGACAGTTTCTCAAAACAGACTATGAAGGCTTAGTTTAACACTACTTTTCCAACACTACAAACTGGTCACTACTAGCCTAGTTGACTAATTTGTGGAGAAACTTCATTACATGGTGTGGTGCATTTTAGTATATGAAATGCACCACATGCAACAAGAACTGGCTACGCTTTCTTATTTATAACGCCTCTGAAGAAAAAAAATGAAGTGATAACACATTTGAAGGGTTGAGTCTTTTAACATTAAGGATGCATTCAGTTAATTTTTTTGAAAGCCTTAGTTCTAACCCTTGTAGTACAGTAATAGTCTGAGCTTATATCACAACTTGTATTATACAGTGATTCATATACATAATGTGACTGCAAAATAGGCATAATTTAAACATTTCAATTAATTTCCCTACAAATTAATTTCAGAATGGAATTTTGATAATTTTACTTTTCATGAAAGTACTAGTAAAATATAGTCTCATAAACATGATGTTCTTTGATAAATCTAGCAGCATCATGAATACTGTACTTTGGAACCTCTACCATTAATTTGAATAACTACACTAAAATACTCCCATATTTTTGTACTGTAGT